GTGTGTGTGTGTGTGTGTGTGTGTGTGTGTGTGTGTGTGTGTGTGTGTAGATAGAATCTGTGTGTGTGTGCATGTGTGTGTGAGTACATTGTGTGTGCAATCATACTCGATTTCCTCTTCTTCCTCGCATGCATGCAAACAGATGGAAATCCAAAGTGGCGCCAGGCGCCCACACAAAGCTTCAGAGATATGCAGACCGGGAACACAGTTCAGATCCAAACTCGCTTCAAACAGGCTATGGGGCCTGAGCGCCCGAACAACTCACTGCCGAAACTGTGTCCACCACCTCTGTTCACACACACCCAACTTTGGATCACCATGAATATCCCACACGCACTCATGCTATACTCCGCTCACACTCACTTACACACTGAAACACTATCTCTAACCTATGTCGGCTAGCATGGCCGCTCGCTACTACTAACACTGGACGCTATCTCCTTTCTTCACCCCACTTCAGCTTTGGGCATCTGCAGACCACCTCGCAGAAGACGCCTGGGCAGTGCTTCCGCATGGCTCATGCAGGAATGAATGAATGGCTGGACACTGCCTCTTGATTTATACTTCTGTAAGTCGCTCGTCTGCCACTTTCCACCCGTCCCATGGTGCACACAGTCCCACATGGTACTTGCTGACTGGGCTGAGTGAGACTAGGACTGGGTACCGCTGACTAAGTAAGGTTGGACTCACCACTTGCCCACTTGCCTCTGGTCTGCTGTGAACAACGTTCGAAAGGCCACTTCCGGACCTTCCGGAAGCCTGCGGACTTGGCCTTTCGAAACTGTAGCAGCTACGACCTTGACCCTTCAGGACTGTAGCAGCTACGACCTTGACCTTCCAGGATTGCTACAGCTACGACCTCTACACAACGTTGACCCCTACTTGACAGACCTACGGTTCAAGAACCGACAACTACACCGACCTACGACAGACAACAGTTGACTCCTAAAACCCAGGTCACGGGTTCAAACACACAGGGGTACTGTACACGGGTGAGGTGAGGTCTAGGGATCGAGCCCCGGGATCTGCATCTGCTACTGCAAAGGTGAAAACTGTTTCAGAGTGTGTGTGCGTGTGTGTGTGTGTGTGTGTGTATGTCACACACGCATGGGTAGATATGTGTGTGTGTGTGTGTGTGTGTGTGTGTGTGTGTGTGTGTGTGTGTGTGTGTGTGTGTGTGTGTGTGTCACACACGCATGGGTAGATACTACATGGTGTGTGTGTGGGCGTGTGCATATTGTGTGTGGTCTGGTTATGGATAGCATGTGTGTGCGTGTATGCATACAGTGTGTGGACATATGCAGCAGCTGCAGCCGCGGACCTTTCACACATTCCTGAGATGATTCCCCCCACCCCCAGCACCGTTTTTGTTTTTTTTTTGGTTTTTTGCTCCGAATGGGCTCAAATTTGTTTTGGGGGTTCCCCTGGTGATGAGCGGCACAGAGCAATTTTTCTTTTATTTTTTTTTGCTTCCCAAATTTGAAAAAATGAGTTGTCGGGGATCCCGGACAACTCCACACAGGACGTCCGGCCAGGATAACCGGCAATTGGACAACTGGTAGCCTAGGTCTTTTTCCAAAAAAAAAAAAAAAAAACTGAAAAAGGCCGAAAGGATACGAAACCCCCTCAGCTCTGTCAGAGACCAGCCTTTCACAGCAGGCAGAAGGAAGAGCTCGGTTGAGCCTCTCTCCACTATTCCCCAGTGCACATGTATCTTTCCATCTTCTAGGGGAAGAATCAGTCTCATTTTCCACATTTGGAGAAGGGTGGAGCAAGGGCAACTCTGCAAACATGCCAAGTGAGACTGAGGGTATACTCACACGGGGACCTATAACCTTGAATCCCAAAATTTGAGCCATATTTCGGGTCACATTGGAGAGGCCCGCTACCCAAATGCCTTGAATGGTGGCCCTTCTGTCAGCGGCCTGCGGGGCCGCGGGAGGACCCTTTTTGAGACCACCTCCATGGACCTTGTCCCACCAGCGCCGTAGAGCCAGCTCCTCGTTGCAGTTTTCAACCGCGAGTGACACCGCGCGACGTGTAAGATGCGAGATCTCCTTAAAATTGCACAGTTGATTTATGTGAAGTGTGTACGCCCAGCAAAAAGGCCTCTTTTCGTTTCAGAGAAACCATGGAAAAATAGCTCCTCTTGAATACAACGCCCCCTACCCGTCACGATGCCCTTTCTCGTTGAGCTAGCTGACTCGTTTGCACGTCTCAGCTAGCTCAACGCTCTGAAGCTTGTGGCCGGTGTGTGAAAGAAATTATTTATTTGGTGCTGTCACTATTGTCTGCGTCAGAGCATTTTCGCGGTATGAGGCAAATGGTTGTTCCCCCTCGTTTCACACGCTCAACGCTCTGAAGCTTGCGGCAGGTGTGTGAAAAATTTTATTTATTTGGTGCTGTCACTATTGTCTGCGTCAGAGCATTTTCGATATCCGTTATTTACGGTATGAGGCAAATGGTTGTTCCTCCTCTTTCACACGCTCAGTGAAAAGAGAATCCGGCACTTCTGAATGCAGTTGTGATGATGTCCACATTCATTTGGACTGGCCACCTCCCTGAGATGACTTCACTCGGTTTTGGGAGCAGTGGGCACAGTTAACGCGGACAGCACATGTCAGAGTCCACTTTCACTTCCTCATATGGCGGTGGACGTCATGAATACCTTCTCACAATCTATAAATAGCTTTGTATTAGGCATGTTCCACTGTCACAACGTTGAGTTACCTCATCTAAACAGTGTATGTGGGACAAGGTCCCAGAGGTGTTCTCAAATGACCTTTCTATTTTTTTTCCCAGCTTACCTTATTGCCAAAAATTCTCCATGAAGAAAACAGTCTGCTAAACAAAAGACAAAAAAGATGGCAATGTATCTATCTATGTTCTAGTGTGGATTCAGTCTCATTTTGCACATTTGGAGAGTAGTGCACTGAGGCTCATGTACCTTGTGAGAAAAAAAAAGTAAAAGTGAGAAAGGGCGTCGTTCGACACACCTCAGTGCGTCCTCAGGCTCCGAGGACGAATCCTCGGAGTAATTTTTTATTTTCGGAGGTGTTGTTCCACCTGTCCTCGGAGAATTGCCTTGAGGACGAATCCTCGGGGCCCTCCCGTGGCCAGTTTAATTAGATTATACACAGCCGCGAGAGGAATGTCCGGCCTCCGATTCGGGATGTCCGTGTAGCAGGCGTGGTGGTCCAAAAGGCGGACGGTGGGAAAACATCACGGGCCCTGGGAAAAAAAATCGCCAACGCGGGAAAATCCCCTTTCGAAATTCGAATTTCGAATTTTGATCTTGCGGAGTGACGTGGTGGCGGCGCACAGGCGGGTAGGGCAGGGGGCAGCCTACGCCGCGCAGGGTTTCGTTTGCCATCGCGTTGCGTATTTCAGCGGCGCCGCACCGCCACTGCGTCAAGTGTGGTTGACGCGGCGAAACGAAGACGTCCGGTAGGCAGTCGCATTCGCCACGTGCAGGCGCCGCGGCGGTCCTGCTCTTCAGCGGCGGTGGGTGGACGCTCCAATCGGAATCGCGTCGTTGGGCCAGGCTGTCTTCCTGACGTGGTTGCAGGCGTCTTCAAACGTGGCGGCAGAGGTGCACGGAGGTGGGCGGCGGTGCACGTCGTTTTTTGTCTTCGAAGGACGTGATGGACGGCCGCGATGGCGATGGACCTGCTGTGCTGTCGACGACGGAGAAGACAGTTGTCGCGGCGGCTGCAGTTGCCATTGTCCGTCGTTTCCAAATCGAGAGTGCGGCCGAGCGCATGAAGGCAGCGCTTTCGAGGCGGCTGCAGAGGCTACTGCTGCAAAGGGTGTTGGACGCCCCGGACTGCATCACCACATCCCAAGCCGTGGTTCAACTGTGTGCTGCAATCGGGTGCGGTTTGCTTCCTCGGGTGACGCCACGTTGGTGGATGCGGCGGAGAGCTGGTGGGACTTGGGAGGATTTACGGGTGTGCGATGACGCGACAGACGACTACTTCCGAGAAAAGCTCCGCATGTCCAGGAGAGTGTTCGTGGAGATCAGCGAAGCATGTGCGCCTCATGTGCAGCGGCAGGTGACGTTTTACAGGGGGCCACTACAACCGGAGCAGATCGTCGCGTACGCGCTGTATAGGTGGGCCACAGGAGAGTCTTACGATAACATCACATCATCCTTCGGCATGGGCAGGACTTCCGGAGTTCGAGTCGTGCGCGATGTGACAGCCGCTATTTTGAGGGTGTACGGGGAGAAGATATCGTGGCCGACGGGGGTGCGGAAACAAGTCGTGCTACGGGCATTTCTGGACAAGGGCTTTCCAAACTGCCATGGCGTAGTTGACTGCACACACATCTACGTGGACAAACCGGCGAACGTGTCGAGCGAGAACTACTTCGACCGCAAGCACCGTTTTTTCATCATTGCGCAGGTTGTGGTGGACCTGGATCTGCGCGTCCTTGATGTGTTCATGGGATATCTGGGTAGCTGCCACGACATTAGGGTGATCCAGCTGTCAAGTCTGTCGAGGCGCACGGAAGAGGGATTGCTGTTTCGTGGGCCGCCTGTGACGCTGCCGGGAGGGGTGACGACGAACGGATACATCTTCGGCGACAACGGGTATCCTCCTTCTGAGTGGGTGGTGGTGCCGTACAGAGGAATCAATCAGCACCCGGACGAGGAAAGGTTCGACACGAAGCAGAAGGTCGCAAGAGGGGCCGTGGAGAGGGCGTTCAGGAGGTTGAAAGGGATGTGGAGGCTCTTCCTGCGGACGCACAAGACGAACCTCGACAGTCTGCCGCAGCAGTTCATGGCGGTATGCATTCTCCACAACATCCTGCTCGATGCAGGAATCGAGTTCGATGAGAATTTGTTGTGGGAGGTCGACGCGAACGGGGTGAGGCGGCGAGTGGACTTGGGGATTCATCGCCTCCCGCAGTCAGTGTCCATGTTGACTTCGACGCGCGAGGCTCATGCGCCCCGCAATGCACTGGCGCAGCGGATGAAACACGTTTGATCCAGCCAGCCGCCTACCTGTTCGTCCTGTTGAAGTCGTGTCCCGCCATGGTCGGCCGACAACTCTTTCGTTTTTCGCTCGCGCGCGCGGTCGGGTTCTTTTCAGGTGTTTGTTCTTGTATTCCACGACGCTGTATAGGTCCAGTCCGTCGCACAGCGGGAGTGCGACGGGATCGCTGATGTAGTATTCGTCCTTTGCGGTCGTCTTTTCGTATTTTGGCTCTTCATTGTCGTCGTGGCCAAGAAGTTGGTTTTCCCACGCAATGTCGTGGAGTCGTCGATGGGTTCGGTCCTTGTTTGATGGGGGGGGGGGGGGGGGGGGGGGGAGTCAAGGGCTGGCACGAAGAGGTTCGTGAGCCCGCTGTTTCGCATGCGCTTCACAGCGCCTTTTTTTTTAATGAACTTTCGAACGGTGAATTTTTTTGATGATGTTTGGGAATGGATGTTTTGGTGTAGCCGACTGCTGCTATTGTTTCGAGGGATGTTTTTTTTTTTTTTTTTTTTTTTTTTNTTTTTTTTTTTTTTTTTTTTTTTTTTTTTGGTGCATGGAACGTGTGTTGTGCACGTCGTCTCGGCTTGTTTGCGTTTGCGAAATGTTGTCGGAGAAGCTTCGTTGTTGCATTGACAAATGACATGCATCGCGTTTGTGAATTCGGAAAAGCTTCGTTGTTGCATTGACGACTGACATGCATCGACAAACAAAAGAAAGATGAACTCGCGACAGATGTGCTCATCAGGCAACTGCGCTGTGACCTTCCTTTGTAGTAGTTCAAACTTTTCGCTTTCATTTTTCCCCCCTTCCTTCATGGTAGGTGCAATCATTAGGATCCGGCGATGGCATGAGGAAGGGAAACACGGGCGACAAGCATCAGGAAGATGACAATGAAAGTGCATGTTTGGGTTCCTGCCTGTTTTCCTTTTATTTTTTTTTCTTTGTTAAGTTCACGGCGATGTCAACGATGCCGCGATAGGTGAAATCGAAAGAAACGGCCTCATACACAAGAAGATGCAGACGACAATGTGATGGCCATTCACGTGTGCGTCATGTGATAAAACCACACAGAAGACAACGACGACATAACTCCGTGCGCAATCTTTAGCATGCAAGCACAGGACATGGAAACAGCAACACACATTTCACTGAGTTCATATTACATAAAATCAATCGCACAGGCGGTGATTCCCCCTTCTGTCAAACTATCGACACTTCAAGCGTTCCCCACTACACACGGACTGGTCCTGCCGTATACGCACATTTCGGCGGAGCAGTCCGCCGACCCAATTAACCCTGCGGCGGAGTAAACTTACCAAGCACGCTCCAATCACCTAATAATGACACAAAATAAACGAATGCATCATTCAATACACATGCACAACGACGATTGCAAGCTGACATATGCATGACGACACTCGAGACCACACGCCGTTGGAGTCGCCACGACCACCCGCCTAACGCTCCCCCCC